GCAGTGAATTCATGTACTATTCCTGATCCAGTAATTAACAATCATTCGGAGGCCATATCCCTTTTCAAGTAATCACTAATTGCAATAAGAATTTCAGTTTCCATTTAAGGCCAGATTACCGATGAGCATGCAATGCAAATCAGGCAACAGTTCTAATTAAGCTCCGATGCCTTTTTCTTTCTCACTGCCTAGCCCCTTTGTGAGTGCATACAATGTAGAGTTTGTTTTCTCAGCATTACAAAAGACATATTTTTTTTTTATCATAATGCTGCAGATAGAGAGTTGTGTAGTGCCCCAAAGAAAATGGTTTATGCTCGTGTTTGTTCCATTGATTAGTATGTGTGGTTTATCTTCCCTCTCCGTTTTTTTTCCCACATATTTTCTTTTGCATTGTTTATCTCCGTCTTTGTGTGTCTGCATTGCTACATTTTGTTTTCGCTTTGGCATGGGGGGGGGGAGAGCTGTTTTCTGTAGACTGTTAAGACAGTTAATTAATCCATAGAGAGGGTGTTGCTTTAGAAAGCACATACACCAATGCATTCACATTGACCAAAAAAAAAAACATCCTCTAGAATTGCATTCATATAAATACTATGATTACAGACCTTCAGAATACTTAGAAGATGACATAAGGTCAAATGTCATCAGCACTTCACTTTTACCGCCTCTAGACCCTTGTGTCACTTGCTACTGTTGTGACGATTTATCAATATCGCCGGACTAAAAAAACTGTGACTTTAAGATGTTGAATGAGGTTAATGGCATCTTTAAACGCTCCTTTCTTCCACGCATATGTCCAAACGGAGCAGGGTATTTGCAGACTGCCACCCAATGTGTGAGGATTAATTATCGCCCTCCACAACCCTGCCTTACCGTGCAAGTTAAAGATTCAGAGAGGAAATGGCCCCTTTCATGCAAATTAAATTGAATATGTCAGTCAGTATAATTGTGAAAACCGAGCCACTTGGACTGGTGTCTGTGCCGAATAGAGGTTCCAACTGAAAGTGGGTTTATTAATGTTCTTCACTCCACTCTTTGATTGGTGCTATTTAATGGCTTGGCAGATCAAACTCTACTTTATGGCAGAATACTGACGACATTAAATGTTTTGGCCATTATGAATGAAACTGAGATCCATTTGAAAAGACCATTTAAATGCAATGTTTGGCTGAGCTAAGCCAATATCAAACAAACTTGTAATGAATGCAGATACGCAACATGCTCTTAACCCTGCTATCCGCCAAGTTAAACACAAACATGAAAAAAAATCAAATCTTCGGCCATCGTTTTCAGTTACACAGTCCATTCAACTTAAAGTCTGGTCTTCAACAGGTGCTTGGAAGTTTAACCTGCATTCAATGGAGCATTACCTTCCAAATCAGAGATGATTCAAACTAACCGTTTCAGAAATATTGTATATTCATTGATTTGCCAGCATGTTTCTCTCAAAATTAAATCATGTTGGTTTTGTCAAAAATAAGCTGCATTTCTACATGCTTCAAATCCCAGCTGTTGAGGCTGGGATTTAACTGTATGTTCTGTCTTTTATATGGAAGATGAGACCATGGTAACACTTGAATTAAATTCAACCCAACAAAGAACAAAGCAAAACATGTAAAACATGCAAGGTCATTAAGCAACACTGCTATTTTTATTAAATCAATGTAATGCTCAGGTTTTAATGCAGAGTAAAACAATTGTTATCGTTAGCAAGCCTTAGCTTTCCTGTTGTTTGATATATACAAATACATATAGATTTCTAGCAATTAAACAGTCCTAAGGCCATAGGGCTAACGCCCCTCAGTCCTATGGAAATGGTTGTTCTTAGAACAGTAAAGGCTCTAGTCATCCTCCGAATTCTTGACATGTAGTCTTTGAAAAATAGAGCAAGGTGTTGCTATGAACAGCATCTTCCTTTCCGGTCGCAGCGAATGTGAACAAGGTAACATAATGACCTCGAGGGAGAGCAAGCACCGGCCCATGTCTCAAACCTTTTAGCTCATGGCAGGCTTTACACTTCTCGTTTTGTTTGCAGGCGACAGCTTAGCACTGGATTAACAGGTGCCTTGCCAAGGTATTAATTCAAGTAGATCAGGGTTAACTCTTAAAGGAGTCTCCAGCATGTAGCAGAGGTTACAGGGGCCTTAATCGGATGGGATTTATTCAAACTGAGAAACATTTGAAATGTTTGAAGGCAACACTATGCTGATGATACTCTGTGTTATTTGAACATTATTTATTTTACCAGGAAAATATTCTCGTTGGCATTCAGGAACTCTTATACAAGAGTGTCCTGGCCAAGACTGCAGCACAGAAGTCTAACAAAGACAGACAGTAAACAAATATTATGTTAAAAACCACAGTATTTCAGGCAATCAAATGGCAGCTAGATCTTTCAACTTTCACATAGCTTTAGGTTTTCCAACAAGATCATTGAAAAATCAGGGTTCTGTTGGAAGAGATTTATTTCTGGTGCATTTGTAAAGCATTTGTTCACACAGACCGTGTCTTTTGAGTTGCTTTCATGTTGCTCGTCATGTCATTGTTCAGAGAAAACCGAGGTTTCAATCAGCCTTTGTCTGCCTGAACTCGTATGAGGACTCTACCAAAATGGATGTTTGTATGCGGCAGACCAAAATGGGGGAATGATGGTGATATCAGAGGCCATGTCTGTGAAAACACCATTACCTCCATGTCACGCCTCAATCACTCCCCATTGTACGACGACTTTCCCCCGGCCCTCCTTCCCCTCACCTCCAATGCTGATCTCCCCGTTCATGTCCTCGCAGTCTATCACAGCCGGTGTGGCAAGACGCACCGAGCCGTAATGGATGGCCCCCCGAGCGAAAACAGCCCCAATAGCATATCAATTACCCATCAGCACCCTCTTGACTGGATGCCAGTGAGCACCAAGCCCCAGCCAAACCAATGAGATAAGGTGCAATTGCAGATATAATGGTGCTTTTTGCTGCGTAAAAATTACACAGCGTCATCTCTGCAGCCCACCTGTCGGATCTGTCAGCCGATGAATGAAAGAGCGATTCTGAGTGTTATATTAATGTGTGTCTGCATGCAAAAGCATGTGCATGACAAGAGGCAATCAGGTGATTTCCCAGACTAATTTGCCCAGTGGAAGCCCAGCTGCTTTCCTGTTTATCTGTTCACTCTTTTGATTGCTGACCACACATCTTATGTCACCTCTCCATGAATCCTGCAAGTTAATTCTTAGCTCACTCGTGGTCCCGCTGCTGGGCAGGGAAATTGTTCTGCATACAGACACGCGAACAAGCTCGAGCACACATTCTCACACACACACACACACACACACACACACACACACACACACACACGAGGTGATTCAGATGGTTGGCATTACCGCAGCTGTGTGGCCCCTAATGGCCCGCTGAAGTGATTGATAAAAGGCAAACAGTTGCTCTGCAGGGGGACAGATGGAGCTACACCTCCCACTGAAGCTGGCGCTCGAGCTTCAGAGCAAAACACTAAGGGTGTCTGGCTTAGCACTGTTACATTATTGCTATTGAATTAGCCTAGATCATTATGATAAAGCTGGAATGAAAATCTAACAATCAGAAACTCCTCAGGGAGAGACAGGGTTATTTTTCACTTATATGTGTGGGAGAAAGCCGGTGAAAGAATTATTCTAAAGACTGGATAATATTAGGGAATTAGAAATCAAACTGCAAGCACAAGGCTGCAACTGGCTTAACCACCTGTCAAAATCGCAGTCTGAGAAAAACGCTATTGTCCAGTGTTGTAAAACCACCACGGTAGCTGGGAACGTCCATGATTGCACAAAGCAATCACTGTTCCATTCTGTTATTCCCTCACCTCAACTCCCCTGCATTTTTTGCATTTTTATCCTCAGTGCCTTTACACTTGACTTGTTGTGATGAATTGAGAGACCAATTAGGAGCGATGGAATGCTCACATCGCCAATCAGAGCATTGCCAGGGCCTTATCAGGTGCGTGTCTCATTTGCGTTGGGGCACAAGCACTGTTCCAATTGGTGGGTTTTGGGGGAGATTAGTGTTGTCTGCTGGTCCACAGCTTCTGCTTCTGTGCACGAGTTGGACAATGTTTGCCTTGTTATTAGAAACACTGAATGGCGGAAAGATTATTGTATAGAATGACATGTAGACTATGCAAAAATTAACAGGTTGAGGATGGATGACTTAAATGTCAATGACACATAACAGACAAATTCAAAGACAGATATGAGACATAGATCTAAACTTAACGATCATCCCTTTTTTAAAACTTGGCCTGGTGGTTATGTCGTGTGCGCCATTGTATGGAGGCCATAGTCTCTATTGCAGCAGCCTTTGGTTTGAATGTAAACTCTGCCCTTTGCTGCATGTCATCAGCCACTCTTTCCACCAAACATTTACAGTCTCTCTTCAGCTGTCCATTCCACTGAAGGCAAAATGGCCAAAAACAATAACCTAAAATTTACTTTCTGCAGTGCTTTCAAAATGAAATGAGCATTAAAAACTAAAACCACTGAAACTCATATTACAATGATCTTTTAGGTATGCCTTTGCTGATTTTGTTGTGTGACAGAATATGAAGGTGCCAACATAACGCTTCACTGTTGCAGGGGGAGAAGGCCAGCAACATACAGTATATTTCCCTTTTTCTTCAAAAAGTCCGAAACCAAACTTCCTAGAAAGTCAGTTATGCTTCAAAACAGATTTTAGAGTTCATGTAAACTACTTCCCAGGTCAAGATTATACGCTTTGTACACACATACACCAATGACCTCTGTCCTTTAATTGATCCCAACCTCTGATCATCTGTTTCCACTTACACAATACTTGTCTTGACCTCCAAAGACAATCCTCTTAACAGCCACATGCTAAATCTGCAACTTTGTTTTCTTTCTAATTTGTGGGGCTTCGTAAGAGAGATTAATAGCACTGACTGCAATGCTTAGTATGCTAACTATTTCTATCTTTTGTTCTTTGTTTGTCTCTCTGCAGCACCACCAAAGTTTTTAAGAACCCCTAATGACCAAACAGGCGTGCAAGGAGGGGTGGCATCCTTTATCTGCCAAGCTACTGGAGATCCACGGCCCAAGATTGTGTGGAACAAGAAGGGGAAGAAAGTCAGCAACCAGAGATTTGAGGTATTAGGTCTATTGTTCTGATGTAAAATGCTCGACAAAATTGGAATGCTTCAGCACTGCTTTTGGCTCCCTGCTCGCACATAATCCATCGCGCCAAGCACTGCTCGCCTGCTTTTTTTGCCCTGACTTGCCACCACGCATTAGCAGGCTCTAATAATCATGCTGGCCAGGCTTTTGAACATGCTTGAGTTTTAATGAGCAAGTTTACAAAAGATCTGGGGATAGATTTGTAATTCAATAACATACAAGAAAATAGCAATTGGACAGAAGAGAAAACAACTTGTGGTGTGACCCAGATACCTACATTAGCATCATGCCACATTTGCCAGCTTATGCAAAGTGAAAGGGGAAGCAGCGCTTTCACTTCTAAATATCCTTTTGCTTTGTGGCATCTTTATCTAAATGCATGTCCTACCCTCCTTATTTCGGCTGCAGCTTTGATTTCTGGTCAGCTTTAATCTGCACTTGGGCTCAATACCCATGAGAAATAGCACATCATTGCAGAACACTGATAAGATTTCTATTAATTTCTGTGTCAGTCCTCAGGACTATCATGGTGCCACTTTTCCCCCTCTGCTCTTCATGCCATATTTGCTTGCTTCTGCACAGCAGCAAAGGCTTGACAGAGCTAGGAGACCTCTCCCCGCTTCTACTTTGGGTCTCATAACGACAGAAATCTAATCTTATCAGAGTTCATCGCGTTTGCATCGCACGTTGTGCTGAATGCTAACACACTAGTTTTCATTCCCTCATTGCCTCGAAGGGTTTGCCGGCTGCAACCATTTCACGCCCATTCAATCATGTGCTGCTGCCTCATCTTCTAACAAACACCCATTTCCTTTTAGTACTCTCACAACTTCCTTTCTAATTCACTTCTTAAATTTAACAAAGAAAGGGACTCTTTTCACAATCACCTGCTATCAGCTTGAATGCCAACACCGCTATATCGTTTGGCCGATGAAATGTTAAAGTGTATTATGAACTAACACATGCACAGAGATATTGTGAATTTTGAAAATGTTGGTAGGCTGCTGTGGGTTTGTATGTGTGTGTGTGTGTGTGTGTGTGTGTGTGTGTGTGTGCGTGTGTGGTATGCGCGAATGTGTGAAGAAAAGGTCTAAGGCCTATCTTTATTGCAATCTACCTCAATGCTTAAAAGAGGTTGAGTTATGACAAAGGGCTTTCTAAAATCAGTGAGTATACGACATGTAGCATGCAAAAAAAAAAGCTGAATAAGCAACAACAAACACCTGTTTGTGAGCATTTTTATGTGTCGTTCGTCCAATACAGTCGGTCCTGTCCTTTGTACCACTATCTCACCTCATGGTACAACTGTCCGTAACCGTTTATCAAGCCACTTTTAACTGTTTGTGCTTGTTTCTGTCCCATTGACACAATCCAGTGTGATGCATTACTTAAGGGTAGAAAGTTAACTTTAAGAGTGGGACACATTCCAATTTACAAATCCTCTACAAAACAGTATATCTGAGCAAAACATTCCGTCCAAATAACCTTCCCCATTCTTAAAGTTAGTCAGCCGCATTGATTATTTGACAAATTAAGGCAAGGTTTAACTAAAAGAGAGCACGTCTGAACACATAGTAAACTGATTTAATACATTCCTGTAACGAAAAAGCTAAAAAAAAAAAAAAACACTTATAAATGCTCAATACTTATATATGATAAATATGATTTTTTTTATTGCACAGATTAAGGCACTATCTGTAAATTATGGTAAAAGTAGATAACCACAATATTCACAAATGAACACAAATCACTCGGGTTCAATTTAAGGTAGGCACTAGCGTTTGTCTTTGTCATAGAAAGTACATTGTGTCCCCATCAGTGTTGTTAGCCAAATGTCCTCTAAGTTTTGTTGTTGTTTTTTGTCTGCTGAAGGTCCCTCACCTGTTGTGCACAAAAAATCTCCTTTAACATATCCTGTCTCTCGCACCTGCAGGTGATAGAGTTCGACGATGGTTCTGGTTCAGTGCTAAGAATTCAGCCTTTGCGCACGCCCCGAGATGAAGCCATATACGAGTGCGTCGCCTCCAACAGTGTTGGAGAGACGAGCGCTACCACCAGACTCACTGTTTTACGTGGTAGGTCCCCCAGAAGACAAAAAAAAAAAAAAAAACACACCACTAACATGCCCCTTTTTCTCCCAGCTAACACAGGTAAGCATGCATTCCCTTGTTTCATTTCTGTCCTGTCCTCTTTTCTGTGTCTTCTCACTGTTTCATCACAAACCAAAAAATTAGAGACCCTGGTTACACTCACGTTGTATATTCTTACTTGATAAAATTTAGTCCATTAGCTATTTAGCCAAGCAAGTTTCCGTTTCTAAGTGACTTAAGTCATTTGCATACAGATTCCTGACACAATAATTAAGATGCCAGTTAAATTATGCAAATAGCAATCCACTCCTAGCCTGCGGTGGTTTAATGGAAAAGCTCAGCAATAATTTTCAAATCAGTCATTTTTCATCTCTGCACTTCAGCTTTGATATTCGTTTGACCGTGTTAGAAAATAAAGCAGAGTATTCCCATGGGGATTAGCAAGCGTGTTTTGTTTGTTGCCGTGTTCCAAGTGCCAGTATCTTTCAGTGACCAGTTGCTGTTAATAGCCGGCACTCCTCTACACAAACAAGTGCAACAAACGAGGCGGGAAAGGTCAGCTGCTTTGTTTACTTCCACTAAGCTGAGAGAATAAAAGTCAAACGACAAATATCAAGTTGGTTGACAGTGCCTCTTTTATAATAAGGACTGAGCAAAATTTCTATCTTGATTACACAAAACATTCCATTCAAAGAGAAATATGTGGTGTCCCTGAGCTCAAAAGGCTGCGTAATATCTCTCTAAAACATGACTTGTTTGGCTGTAAATGCAGGAAAATGGCTTTAGAAAGAGCCTTGGGCAACCTGAATGAGGTGTGCTCCATTATGTGACACAATTACACAACATGGCAAATGAGTTCCTATTGAAAAGGGTGCTTCCATCCTATAGAAAAAAAGCTGGCTCTGTGAGTCTCTGAAGCCCCCACCGTTCTGCTTCTTATCTCACCAATGAGCTAACAAAAGGCCCTTTGCACCGTCTCCAGGGGCCGATTCAAAGAGAAAGGTGGCACGTTCACATGCAGCGCTCCCCTGTTTACTCTGGAGCATAAAGCATATGTGTGTATGTGTGCGCTCTCACAAGCAATAATGTGCACATTTCCTGTTCGCTCCCGCTCTGTCTCTATCTCAGTATTTCCCCTCCACACACACACACACACACACACACCAATAGATAGCTAAGGGACGGGTATAGACACAGCTCTTCCCCAGCACTGTGGCCTAGCATTAGCATGTTTATTACCAATTCCATTTTGCTTTTCTGCTCCCTCTCCTTTCCCATCAATGCACTGAAGGTGAGTAGAGGCCTATCTCGGATCAACAAAACAGGAAAGAGCTTTTTCTTTCTCGGCTTTGGTGCAAATAAAAAAGGTGTGCTCCCTGTCCTCACTGTCCCTGCATACACATAAACACAAATATTGGCCATTGTGAAGGATTTAGGCTACATTCTCTCTTTTTTTGTAAAAAACAACACTTTCAAGTTCACTTGCAATGACAAAGCAGGGATTCATACTAAACACGGAGGTTGAGCATTTTGTGCTACATCTAGTATCTGTTAGGCTTCACCAAGGAAATGTATTGTTAATTAGACTGGAAGCAAAGTGTTTAAAATAAAATAATAAATCAAAGAACTGTAAATTCATTATAAGCAGTGATAGCTACACTTCCGTGGAAGACGAAGAAAAGGAAGCAAGATAAACACAAATGTGTTGGCTACAGACTCAGAAATCAAGGATTTAAATATTCCATTTAAAATCTGCCCTTTAATATGGGCCTTTCATTTAACAGTTATCAATTCAAGCTGAAGACATGCAAAACACATCCAAACAACTACCCCAAAGACCAAACATATGGCCTACTTTGACTCTCAGGGAGCTGGTAGTAAGCTGAGTATTTTTTAAGGTAACACAAGGTTAGCTCAAGGATGCTTTATGTATTATTTAGAAGACCAAAAAGCTTCCCTCTACCACAAGTACTTTGTACAGTACAATAAATACAGCACTGCTGGTTTTCATCATTCCACATGACACAAACTGCAGCTTGAAAAATGCAGCCGCACATTTTTCACGTCCGCTCTGCCTCCACGACCAGCAAAAAAGATTTCTGTCCTCCTTTGGTCCTTTAGTAGAGAAATACTTTTGTAGTGTGTGAAGCCGGATTGGTGAGGTAAATAAATAAGCAAACAAAGATAAGTGATACTACACCAGGACTAATACATATAAAAGTGACTGTTCGTTTAGTTCATTTGGGCTTCAATGGTGTGTGGAAACAACTGCAGAGCATCTGTTGTGGGAAGCTCGCCACAGGGGGTGATGCCAGATACCATGAAGGAAAAGCACATTGTGGTAATTGCCATGCTATAAGAACAGGGGGGATTCGAAGAGAAGAAGGGGAGGGGGGGGGGCATTCATATTCTTGTAGGCCTGTAAGTTGATGGGAAGCGCCATTAGTAATGAACTTCCAGGCTTAGAGAAGCCATTTGCATGAAAGGCGATCCTGGAAAGGTAATGATGTTCCAAGTCAAATCTGCTCGGCCCAGGGTGTGAGGTGTGGGTTTTTCTTCATGCACTTTTTTCTGCACACTCTGTTTTGATTAACTAGGAGATGACCCGACTCATATAAAACTTGCGTCTTTGAATTAAGGTTGTCTTGATTTGCTTTGTAATTGAGAACGACAGGGAGGGATTGAAAATAAGGAAGCAGCAGATTTTGGATGTCACGGCTTGAATATCATTTCATCCAAGTGTTATTTGATCTAATTTATGAATATTCTTCTGCAAGATATTGCCATATAAATAGGATTCAATGTAGAGCCTGCAACAACTTGCACTTTCAGCTATAAGTAAAGAAAACAAATACTTGGAAAATGTAGCTAAAGCACCTCACCGGGTCCAGACTGTGTGCAAGCAGCAGTTCCAGTAGAATGATGTGTGGATTTCAGTGCAGCAGTTCATGATTCAGGCATGATTAAGGATTAATATTGCATCCTCATACTCCCATTATGCTGTCAACAGCCATTTCCTGTAGCCCCACACACAAGTGTGCAAACTTATGCAGCTGTGCACAACTTGTCAGTGGGAGCGGAAAATGGGAAGCCGCTCTCCTGTGACGGAAAAACAGAATGCATCATTTCCATTTGTATGGAATGGTGCAATGGCACAGCCAAAAGCCGTGTGGCTGAGACGGATCTTTCCACATACAATGAAAGGGCTGCTACATGATCAGTGATTATTCATAGACAATGCAGCCACTCGGCTGTCACTGTTAGGAGAAAAATATTCTCTAGACTTAATAAAACACACCAAACCTGCTCTGATGTATTTTCTTAGCAAAGTTAATAGAAGTTATTCAACATTAGCTGTATTGAAGGGCAAAAACCTTAATTTTTAGGGTCTGATAATGACAATTTAAAAAAAAAAAGAACATTAATGCTCCCCCTAACCATCATTTGTCCCTCCGTGCACCATTTTGTCAATGCATAATGCCTCCATTCTCACATTTCTCACATAGTACAGAGAAAAAGATGAACAAAAGCTGGTCAGCATGCTCAAATTGCTTAGCAAAATAAATGCTGTGTCAGCAGTCTCGGACTGTCGGAGCAGGGGATGCAATAGGGATGAAGCAAGTGACCGATGTAAAATTACTGCGCTTGTGATCAGTGGCTCGAGAAGAGCAAAAAGTAGAGGGGGGGGGGGGGGGGGTGGGGGCAGCAGCTACCGTACAATTCTCTGGTTTACTGGCGGGGGACTCTAAAGATGGCAGGACCCAGGCCGCCATGAGGAACACTCAATTTTGTTTGAAAAATACAATTTACTATAAGAAATTGTGCTGGGAAAACCTGCTGACTCACTGTATGAGTTGAGTTACTGTATTTGAGATGAAGATATGGAGAAAATCAAGAACTATTTGGAACTATTCCACTCATAAACTTGTACTGTTGTTTAAGAAGCTAGTACTGTTTTAGCAGGTTTTCAGTGGTTTTCTCATCATGCTGGGACAGGATTGAAATCAATGTCACATACAAGCAATAATCTTCCAGTCCAATAGATGTTTCATAGAATATCAGTAGGCAAGTCATGGCTCGGGATTTGGCCAATACCAATGATACAGTTGTTTTCATACAACTCTCTCAAACAAGAGTACAGAATGACAAGATATTCATGGTTGTTATTAAAAAGATGGAGTCGGCTATCTCAACAAAAAGTGATCTAGTCACAAAAAAAAGGAATGATACCCACACTCCCTTATATCTAACTGTGTAGGTAATCGTTGGACCCAATCGGTATATTTATAGGATGCAGAAACATGCTGCCTGCAAGATGGATGTTAGACTTTATAGCCTGCATAGTGTGTGAGAAAACATCTGCCAGAGCCACAAAGGCTCTTGGACGCACACTGAACATGATAGATAACTCTCCACATGTTGTTTCTCTGTACTTGTAAACACAGCCTGCTGAATTAATAATTATTGATGCAGGCAAAGGAGTTTTTTTTTTCCCCCCCAGTGTCTTTTCCCCTCAAATAAATTGAGCTTAATCTGACTAACATTTTCAACTGAAAATATTTGTCAAAAATATGAAATGATCAGAAATGTTATTCATATTATATTCTGTGCTCAGCTTGATAAAATACTATCTAAATTTGTGTTCATTTTTATGAAGGAATATTCCATTGGATAATCCTGATTGAACTCAAGGTCAGAAACCCTGGAGTGTGTGAGTGTGAGCCAGGTATCTGAGGGGTGCTAATGTTAGTAGCTTTGATCCTAGCTGCATTCAAAAGTCATTTTATACTCGATTAATTGGCTACTGCAGGGTCATCCTTAATACATCTAATGATCTTGGGAAACTTTTTGGAGCTGTGCAAGGCCGCTCACTAATTACAACCATACAACTTTGGAGTGGGGTAAAAGTGATGTTGCAAGGGTGGAATATGGAGTTGTAATTACTTGTCTTTACATTTTAAAGTCAGTAACAAGTGACTTTACAA